ACCAGAAGATCTGGACCGGGCTTTGCAAGTGTAGTGATACAGTTGCCATTTGTCAAGATCTCATTCTGGGGGAAAAACATGGCAAAAGGATAAAAATATCAGCCTGAGAGATGGATGTGTTTCCATGTCACTGCTGAGTATCAGGCAGATCCTGTTGTGTATTTTAACTATGCAAGAATCAGTTATCTGAGACACTGCTATTACCTTAGATGGGTTGGGGCACAGACTGGTATGTCCAATCTCACGTAAGTTATCCGTTGCTTTTGTTCTTCTCTTTCAAAGTTGAGGAAATGCTTTCTGCATTGAGATCCCTTTTTGCATCCCAGATGAAATTGCTACATACCTTTCTATATTTCAAAGTTCATGGGAGACCAAATTATGAAAAATAAAAAGAATGTACTCTTTTCTGGGGGGATCTATAGAAGGGTCCAGCTACATTTGGGGGTACTGATCTAAGGTATGATCCACATGGGGTGGAAAATGGTCAGTAAAATCAATAAAAGTCCATTTTTTCATCTTGGTCAGTAATTTGTCAGTTTTTTTAAAAAAATGGTCAGTAAAGTCAGTATTTCTTTGATTTTTGTGAATGCAGTTTGTGTTTTTCTGTTTTCATTACTGCATTTTTGGGGAAACATGATGACTTCCCAGTGAGAAGACAGATTGTTTTCAGTTTAGTTATTAAGTACTTTAAGGACTTTGTTCCTAAGATTAAAATGATTTGGTGAAATCTTCCACAGAGTATACAAACATAACTAACCTCTTAAAACATGAGACAATGAAAGTAGAGGTGATGGATATTGTGGGATTCAACATGGCACAGCTCATGCTAGAAGGAGTTGAGAAAGCAATGGATAGAAGAGGACAAGGGAAAAAATGCTTGTGGATGCAGTGCAGAAAACTGATGAGAAACGAAAGAGTTTGTGAATAACTTTATTTATTTATTCAATTTATACCCTGCCCTCCCTGCCGGAGCAGGCTCAGGGCGGCTTACAAAGAGATTAAACATATAGGTAACAAATTATATACAATCTTAAAACAAATAATAAAACTCTACATTATCATAAAGTACTAGTAAGTGATCAAGTACTTATAAGAATGCTTACAGAAGGCAGAACCAATACTAGTGTTGTAATCAGATGATCTATATTGGTGGTTGGCTCATCTTGGGATCAACAACCTCAGATATGCAGATGATACCACTCTAATGGCTGAAAGTGAAGAGGATCTAAAGAGCCTCTTGCTCAGAGTAAAAGAGGAGAGCGCAAAAGTGGGCTTGAAGCTCAACATCAAAAAAACTAAGATCATGGCATCCGGCCCCATCACTCCTTGGCAAATAGAAGGGGAATTCGTGGAAGTAGTGACAGACTTCATGTTCCTGGGATCCCAAATCACCGCAGACTGTGACTGCAGCCATGAAATTAAAAGACGCCTGCTCCTTGGGAGGAAAGCGATGGCGAACCTAAACAGCATGATAAAAAGTAGAGACATCACCCTGCCAACAAAAGTCCGCATGGTCAAAGCAATGGTATTCCCAGTAGTCATGTATGGCTGCGAGAGTTGGACTATAAGGAAGGCCGAGCGCCGAAGAATAGATTCTTTTGAACTATGGTGCTGGAGAAGACTCTTGAGAGTTCCTTGGACTGCAAGGAGATCAAATCAGTCAATCCTCAAAGAAATCAACCCTGACTGTTCCCTGGAAGGCCAGATAATGAAACTGAAGCTCAAATACTTTGGCCACCAAATGAGAAGGGAGCACTCACTGGAGAAGACCCTGATGCTGGGAAAGATTGAAGGTCAAAGAAGACGGGGACGGCAAAGGATGAGATGGTTAGACAGTGTCATCGATGCAACGAACATGAAATTGAGCAAACTTCAGAGGATGGCGGAAGACAGGAAGGCCTGGCGGGATCTGGTCCATGGGGTCGCGAAGAGTCGGACTCGACTGTGCGACTGAACAACAACAACAAACCAGCACCTTGAAGCGAATCTATTGGCAGCCAGTGCAGTGCTTTCAGCACAGGCTGGATGTTGTCCGGAATAGGGAGGCCCATCAGAAGCCTGGCTGCAGCATTTTGTACTAGCTGTAGCTTCTGGATTTGGGTCAAGGGCAGCCCCATGTAGAGAGCATTACAGTTATCCAATCTCGAGGTGACCATCGCATGGATCATGGTCGCCAAGTCGTTGCATTCGAGGAAGAGAACCAACTGCCTAATCAGCCGGAGGTGGTAAAAGGCTGATTTGGCAGTGGCTGCTACCTGGGCCTCCACTGTTAGTGATGCATATAGGACCACTCACAAGCTCCTAACCTCCAGCGCTGGCACCAATGGCACCCCATTGAAGGTCGGAAGTAGGATCCCTACCCTTGGGCTGCCCTGGCTCAGGCACAGGATCTCCATCTTCATTGGATTCAGTTTCAGTTGGCTCAGTCTGAGCCAGCCAGCCATGGCTTGCAACGCCCGGTCCAAATCTTCTGGTTTGAAGTCAGACTGGCCGCCCAACAACAGATAGAGCTGGGTGTCATCAGCGTACTGATGATAACCCAGCCCATGCCTCCGGGCAATCTGGGCAAGGGGGTGCATATAGATGTTAAATAACATCGGGGACAGCACTGCCCCTTGAGGCACATCCGCATACTGGTGACATCCCAGCCCATGCCTCTGGGCAACCTGGGCAAGGGGGCGCATGTAGATGTTAAATAACATTGGGGACAGCACTGCCCCTTGGGGCACTCCACAAATCAGTGGGTGCCTTTGGGATAACTGCTCCCCTAGCGCCAACCTTTGTCCCCGACCCTGAAGGAAAGAAGCCAGCCATTCAAAGGCAGGCCCCTGTACTCCAGTGTCGGCGAGGCAGTGGATTAGTAACTAATGGTTGACTGTGCTGAACACCGCTGACAGGTCCAACAGCAACATCACTGCCAATCCACCCTGATCCAGATGCCTCCGGAGGTCATTCGTGAGGGCGACCAGAGCCATCTCCGTCCCGTGGCCTGGGTGGAAACTGGACTAGGAAGGATCTAGAATGGAAGTGTCATCCAAAAGCTCTGTAGCTGAATTGCCACAGTCCTCTCAATTATTTTGCCCAAATAGGGCAGATTGGAGACCGGCCGGTAATTAGCCAATTCGGCCAGAATCAGAGATAGCTTTTTCAGGAGGGGACGAACCACAGCTTCCTTGAGTGCCCTAGGGAACTGTCCCTCCAAGAGGGACTTGTTGATAATCTCCCTTAGGGCATCTCGAAACCCATCATGGCCAGCTTTAATTAGCCATGATGGGCACAGGTCAAGGCAGCACATGGTAGGGCATACAGTTAAGAGCAGTTTGTCAACTTCTTCCAGGCTGAGCAGACTGAAATAATCCATAACCTGACTAGAAGATGTGCATGGAGCCTCGAGTTCACTTACTGTCTCAACTGTGATGGGGAGGTTACATTGGAGTGACAGGACTTTATCTGCAAAGTAGCTCTCAAAGGCCTCACAGCCAGTGTCCAATTCCTTAACATTTGGTCTGCCTTGTTGCAGAACAGTCATAGACTGAATTATTCTAAATAATTGGGCTGGGCATGAGCTTGTATACGCAATCATGGCCGCATAATACTCTGACTGCGATCTCATAGGATAAATATCCTATAAGATGTTCTTGTGGCTTCATAACAGGCGCACTGCTACTGTCTCTCTAGCCATCTTAGCCTTCGCTTCATCAGCTGCAACTCCTGGGTAAACCAAGGAGCCAGCCTAAAGTGAGGGCACAGAGGGCGTCGGGGAGCGATCTCATTGATGGCTGCCAAGAGTCAGCTGTGCCAATCCTTCACAAGTTCATCTAACGAGCTGCCAGGGGGCGTCAGATCCTTCAGGGCCATTTGAAGCCACATAGGGTCCATTTGGCTCTGTGTGCGAGCTGAAATCTGCTCGCCGCCCAAACAGGGTTGGGGTGAAACATTCAGATGGGCCTTCAGGGCATGATGGTCTGACCATAGCACTGCTGGGGCAGTGACCCAGTCCACTGTGGCCCCTGCTACGAAGATCAGATCGAGCGTGTGTCCAGCCCAGTGAGTGGGAGTCATTACATATTGGGAGAGTCCCAACGCCACCATGGATTACACTAGGTCCATTGCCCGCATGGACATTGAAATCACGCAGGACAATCGGTCTAGGGTGTTCTAGTGCCCAGCCCGACACGGCCTCCACCAGGGATGGCAGGCTGCCGGCCGGTACTTTTTTTGTCAAAAAACCAAAGATAAAGTACAAGCAAAGACAAGTCTTACCTTACAGTAATTATGTTTTTTGTCATAATTATTACTTTGTTTGTTTTTAATATGTTTTTGCTGTTTTGCTGTTTTATTATCTGCAGTATGTGATTATTTTTAAAAGGGAAAATTTTTTGCCTTAAATTTTGTACAATAATGAAAACATTGTCCTCTATTCTTAAAAAAAAAATCAATAAAAAGGTGTTCAATCCTTTTATCTGGGTCACATCTAACTATGGGGATGGCTATGGGGATGGTGGAGGCCAAATAATAATTTTTAATGAAGTCCTAGTTTTACATTTAAAATGCTAGTTTATCAGTATGCTGACATTAAATTGTTCAGTAATTCGTCAGTTTTTTTGTCAGTATTTGGTCAGTTTTTTTGGAATTTTGGTCAGTAAAATCAGTATTTTTGACCCTCTGACTAGTTTCCACCACTGTCCACAGGTTACACTATGAGTATCAGAAGTAGTTTTTTCTGAACTGCACGATTCTTTCATTTATAGAAGTGTTTTTTAAGTTCTAAAAATGGGCCATGTGAGAACTCTGCTAATCATGAAATTAACATTAATTCTTCCCCCTCACAAAGCAAATTATTGTTATTTAAGATTTTTCATGGCTTACTAGAGAAAAATGTGGCTGTTTTTATCTGAGAATGATTTTTTTCTTCCTGTAGCTACTCCATTCGGATGTTTGAAAACAATTTCTTATGGACAGTACAGACTTTGAATCTAAAATGCTGTGTTTTTATTTAGGAGACAAAGAGAGGAGTTGCGAAGAATAGCTTTCTGCGTACTTACACAAAAGCTGAATTATTTTTCCAATGTCTTCTTAAAACGAAGAAGGTTCCATCATGTTTGCATTGAAGAGATGCCATGGAGAGCGCAGATGAACATTTATCTAGCAGTTGTCCATTTCATTTTGTTTAAAAAACGGATGGAAGAGCTCTATACCTTTGAAATGCATTCTTTACAAAATTTGAACAGGTAAAACAGTAATGTGTGTGATGTTTAGGTTTCCTAATGGCACACTCTACCAGAGCCCCAACAGCCTTTTGTAGTTCTTTCAGAAATATCCCACTTTCTGATTTCCTGGTCCCTCAAAGCTGGGGCTGCTGTACTTCAGAGGAAGTCCTGGTGCACAATTCAGAAGACTAATCAGGCAACTCTTGTAGTTTTTGTTGTGCCTTGCCTTACGTTACCTCTTATGACCATTACTTTTCACTCACCTGCTATATTGACCTGCAAGAGAGATGGAATTTGTTTAGTGTTTACCTATTTTTTCTTTGGGATTCTTGGGAACTAGAAGAGATTTTGAAGGAACAGAGGAAATGTGTGAGTGCCCTTAGCTTAGCAGAATGCATTTTTATACCTAGTCATTGGGCATGCCAGTTTTCTTTATGAGTACTGCTGCCATTTAAATGGTACTGGTGCTCAATATGGTTTGTGCAAATATCACTCATGATTGTGAATGAATAGACAGGGTCATGTTGAAATAATCCCATTTACAGTGAAGCAGCTTCCCTGTTCTATTATTTTCCTTTTTTCTTCATTTTATATTTATCTTGTATTGTCATTAACGGTGAACTTTACATACAGAAGTTTTAGTTGGATTTTGTATTGTATTGTCATTTTAAGTTTAGTCAAATTAATCAACTTTCATTTTGAATGTTAGTCCAGCACCTCTTTCTTTGTCATAAACCTGTTCACTAATATGCAGAAAACAGAGTTTCCTTTGTTACTTCTTGTGCATCACACTGATAGGCTTGTGCCTGCATACAGCTGCGATTTGTGAATGTCTAAAGTTGTCTTTTAGGTTGTTGGGGAAGTTCACCTTCCGGTTCAGACACAAATTTACACAGAGGCAACTTATAAAATATAAAGGGGGAAAAAAGTTTATTTGCAATTGCAAAGGAGAGCCTCCAACTATCAGGAGATTAAAGGAAGGTCTCTCTGAACAACTTGTGCCCTGATTCACCTAGATACTGCTGTCAGGAACTTTAGGCAGGTAATCCACACACCCAGGCTTCTTCAGAAGATAGGTGTTTATTATGGTAATGCAGAAATAAAGTACATGTATACAGCCCGTGTTAAGAATGACCTATAGTAAGATGGCCACTAACTTATAGAACATTCAAACTGCCCCCCCCCACCTGCAAAGCCAAAAAAGTTTCCCCGTGTGCGTGGGCCCTGCCAGCAAGCAAGCGATTTAGCGCCTAAAGTAGTTACGGTTCCCAGGCCTGGGGAATTACAGAAAAACATCTTCAAGGCCAATCTGCAGATAGTGAAGCGCTAGAAAGAGAAGCACTGAGAACGGGAGGGAGAGAATACTCCCCTCACATTCCAACACCATGACAGGGCTACCTGACAATTGCTCCTGTTATTGGGAGGATCAGCAGTCCTACTAGTATGACAGAGTACCTTCTGCATTCCTACAGGCACCAGGAGCCCTTTGTTTCAGTAAAGAAGGGAATGGCCAAAGGAACCCTTTGTTTCAGTAAAGAAGGGAATGGCCAAACTGTCCTTTCTCTGAGGTTCCCACCACAATACAGTGCTTCTTTGCATCGTCAATCACAAGACGGACCCTGGGGCAGTTTCCTTCCTGGATCTGATGTGCAGTAGGAACTGCATTAGTATAGAATCATAGAATCATAGAATGTTAGAGTTGGAAGGGACCTTACAGGTCATCTAGTCCAACCCCCTGCACTCTGCAGGAGCATAGCTGAAAGATAGCCCTACAACATATCCAAAAGATGGTCATCCAGCCTCTGCTTGGAAACGCTGAGTGAAGGAGCATCCACTACCTCCCGAGGCAGTCTGTTCCACTGCTCAACCACTCTTACAGTTAGGAAGTTTCTCCTGATATTTAGCCGGAAATGACTCCCTTGAAATTTCCACCCATTAGATCTAGTCTTGCAATCTGGAGCAAGAGAGAATAGATCCGCTCCATCCTCTACATGACAGCCCTTCAAATACTTGAAGACTGCAATCATATCCCCTCTAAGCATTCTCTTTCCTAGGCTAAACATACCCAACTCTTTCAACCTTTCCTCATAAGACTTGGATTCCAACCCTCTCACCATCCCGGTTGCCCTCTTCTGGACACGCTCAAGCTTGTCAACATCCTTCCTAAATGTGGTGCCCAAAACTGGACACAGTACTCCAGGTGAGGCCTGACCATAGCAGAATAGAGTGGTACTACCACCTCCTGTGATCTGGACACAATGCTTCTGTTAATGCATCCTAAGATTGCGTTAGCTTTCTTTGCAGTCACATCGCACTGCAGGCTCATGTTTAGCTTGTGATCAACCAGAACACCTAGATCCCTTTCACATGTGCTGCTGTCAAGCCAAGTTCCTCCCATTATATATCTGTGCCTTTGATTTTTTGTACCTAAGTGTAAGACTTTGCACTTCTCTCTATTGAAATCCATTTTATTTGTCTCAGTCCACTGTTCCAGTCGATCTAGATCATTTTGAATCCTGACTCTGTCTTCTTCAGAATTAGCAATCCCACCCAGCTTTGTGTCATCTGCAAATTTGATAAGCATCCTCACTATGTCTTCCTCCAGGTCATTTATAAAAACATTGAACAACACAGGGCCTAGGACTGAGCCCTGTGGCACTCCACTCGAGACTTCCCTCCATGTAGACACAGAGCCATTTATGAGCACTCGTTGGGTATGATTTTTCAACCAACCATGAATCCATCCAACGGTTGCACCATCCAGCCCACACTTAACCAGCTTATCCTCAAGGATATCATGAGAAACTTTGCCAAATGCTTTACTGAAATCTAGATACCCTATATCCACAGCATTGCCAGAGTCAACCATTTTAGTAATTCTGTCCAAAAAGGAGATAAGGTTGGTCTGGCATGACTTATTCTTGATAAACCCATGCTGGCTACTACCGATTAACTCATTCCGTTCAAGATGTTCACAGACAGAGCGTTTAATAATCTGCTCTAGAATTTTTCCAGGTATTGATGTCAAACTGACAGGCCTGTAATTTCCTGGGTCCGTCTTTTCTCCCTTCTTGAAGATTGGGACAACATTCACTCTTCTCCAGTTTTCTGGCACAACACCAGTACTCCAGGACATCTCAAAGATTAGAGCCAGAGGCTCTGAAATAACATCTGCAATTTCTTTTAGCACCCTGGGATGCAAGCCATCCAGCCCTGGAGATATGAAAGTATTTAAGGCAGCTAGATGCTCTCTAACCATTTCCTTACTTACTCTGGACTGGCAGTTCCTCCTTCGTTCATATGCCCTGCATTTTTCAGTTTGTATACAGCTCGCCTTATGGTTAAAGACCGACGCAAATTGAGAGTTGAGTAATTCCGCTTTGCCTTCATCCCTTATTAAGGCTTGACCGTCTTCCCCTAGCAATGAGCTTACTCCATCCCTGTTCTTCTTTTTGCTTCGAACATAGGCCTCAGCTCCATCTGCGCTTTAGCCTTTCTGACACCATCCCTACAGATTCGAGTGTGCTTCTTGTACTCACCCTCAATAATTTGACCCTCCTTCCATTTCCTGTACATATCCCTTTTTAGTCTCAGCTCTTCAGAGAGTCCCTTGTTCAGCCACCTTGGCTTCATTACCCATCTCCCACCTTTCTTTCTTACCGGAACAGTTTGCGATTGTGCCTTAAGCATTTCATTTTTCAGCATCACCCATCCTTCCTGTGCAGATTTCCCCCTCAGCATTTCCAGCCACAGGATCCTACCTGATATTTCTCTGAGTTTTTTGAAATCTGCTTTCCTGAAGTCCAGGATACGAGTCCTACTATGTCCTGGTTTCACATCCTTCTCTATGTCAAATTCCAAGCTGACATGGTCACTATTCCCCAAGGATCCCACAATGTTCACTTTATCAACCAGTTCTTCCCTGTTAGGATTAAATCTAGGATAGCAGATTCTCTGGTTCCCACCTCCACCTTCTGAGAGATGAAGTCCGCAAGACTATTCAAGAATCTGCAGGATGCCCCACGTCTAGCAGAGTTAGATTTCCAGCAAATATCTGGATAGTTGAAATCTCCCATAACCACAACATCCTGCCTCTGTGTAAGTTTAGCAAGCGGTTGTACAAATGCATCATCCAGTTCCTCTGGTTGGTTCAGAGGTCTGTAGTATACCCCCACAACAATATCCCCTTCTTTTCCCCCTCACTCTGTCCTTACCCACACACTTTCAACAGGGCAACTCTCGAAATCCTGAATGTCAGTGCAAATGTATTCATTCTTGACATATAGTGCCACCCTGCCTCCTTGGTACCAACACCATAAGCTACTGTGTCCCACACTCTATGAGAATGCAGCTTCTGGACTTCCAGTTGATGGCAGCACGCTTGCGGACTCACCTCCCAGACCTCCCGGGGGTGTCTCCGTGCTCCGGCGGAAGGAGGGGGCGAGCAGGCTCGTAACCCCCCCAGGGGCCCGGTGAAGGGACCCTGGCCAAGGAGCTTTGAGGAGGTAGCCTCTTCAATGGCGGAATGCCAGAGAATCGAGGCTCTTCCTTGCTCCAGTGGTTCTTCCAGCCGAGAGACCGAATGGTACAAGTGAAGCTAGCCAGGTCAAGCACAGGAGATCGGGCATTAAAAATGATGAAAGAAGCATGGTCGGAAGGCCAGTTATGAACGTGAGTCAATTGCGAAACGAATTTTGAAAGAAAAAGTGCTTCCTACCCTATTCAGCGGAACGAGAAAGGCGAGCGGGGGGGATGCCTCCCACGCGTATAAACTGTGAGCGAAGGGGGGGAGCAGAAGAAAAACGCGAGCGGAATTGCCCAGAAGTACTTACCCAAAGAAGCTAAGCAGTTAAGCGCATATTCAGAGACTTCAGAAACTTTTCGAAAGTAAACAAATGGGAAAAAGATAGTGGGGAAGAGGGACAAAGACAAAGAAAGACTGTTGAAAATGAAACTAGAGTCTCCAAAGCCGGAAACGACCAGTGAGACGGCAAAGGCTGTAGCGGAGTTCATGCGCCCTCTGCTGGAACAGCTGAATACATTTAAAGAGCAGATCCAAGTGGTCACACAGAGTATAACTGCACAGCAAACCCAAATAACAGATTTGATCCAAGTAATGAAGCAAGATGCTGAAAAAGTGAAGGAAGTAGCTGAAACAACACAGAAAATGAAGAAGAAAGTGCAGAAATTGGAAAAGACAACTTTGGAAGGCCGGATGCTCCAAGTACAAATGGATAAGGCCAACATGGTCCTGCTCTTCCAGGGGATGCCGGAAAATAGAGGAGAGAATCTTAAAGAACTTATGAGCGAGCTATTTGCCCCAGTAACAGAAATAAAAGCGGAACTGTTACTCAACGACATGGATGTGGCCTATAGGTCATATTCAGGATATATAAAGAAAAATAATCTGCCTGGGGAAATTGTAGCAAGATTCTTGAAGAGGCATGTCAGGGATGCTATCCTGAAAGCAGTAGTGGCAACACCCTTGAAGGCAGGGGAGAATGCTGTTAGAACGCTAAAGGATATTCCATTTGAAGTAAGACAACACAGATAGAAATACCAAGAACTTGTGTTCTTTCTCCAAACAATTGGATATAAATGGCTATTTCCAGAAGGAGTAACATTCAAGATCAAAGAGAAGAAGGAAAAGATTGACTCTGTGCTGAAAGCTCAAGAATTTCTAAAAGAGCAGCTGGGAAGGCCGGAGGACAGGAAAAAAGAAGAGAATGGCAGGTCCAGCGGAGAGCTTGAAACTGGTTCTTCGGGTGAGGACTCTTTGTCTGAGCAGGGGACAGCAGCCCCGAAGAGTCCCTATAAGCTGCGGAAGAGAAGGGGGAAGAAGAAGTAAAGGCTGAAAGACTCTGAATGGTGCCTTTGAGAACTTTGGTTTTTGGGGATGATTGGGGGTACTGTTATTGGGCAGTTAAATACAAACGGGGAGGGTAAAAGGTTTTAAATGTTTGACTCAGTTTATAAAAAAGAGCAAGGATGAAAGACTTGATGTAACTAAGCTTGTTGGAGGATCTCCTCTCTTGGGTTTTTAGATAGTAGTGGGTTCTTTACTTTCTCCTGTATGTGTAGTTTTCCCCTCCCCTCTTTCTGTTGTAGTTTTTTGTAGTGATAAAAAATAAAAATAAAAAAATCCCCTCCGGTGGCTTCAAAAAGAAAGAAAGAGAGAATGCAGCTTCTGAGGCTTTTATGCCTGCTGCAGTGGTGACTTTACCCTGCCGTGCCTACTTCTCAGTCAACACCTCTAGTTCAGAATCACCACCAATTACCTTTGCTGCTACTCCACCTGTGAGATTTCCTTTGGTGTCCTTGAGGTCCTCCTCCCTGGCCAATTGAATTTTCACCTACACATTAAGATTTGCACCAACAATCTCTTTACACCTGTGCACGTTTAGATGTTGTTCAAACAGATGGTCTGTATGGCAGCTGCATTGGGCCTTCATGTAATACAACAGATTCCTCAGCTGTCAGAGCTTGTATTTTAACATCTTAAATCCAAAACCAGTAAATCAGCCATACTCTCTGTGCTTCTAGTCTATCTAGCAAGGAGTTCCTGGGTTAAACTAGCCTCAAGTGCACCAACTTGTAAACAGATTGAGAGTCTTTATTGGATATTGCAAGAAGAGTGTGATTTTCTCTGTTCCCATCCTCCCCAAATTCTATCATGGTGGAAGTGGCACAAGCACGAAACCCAGCACCAACAGATCAAGAGTGAAGGAAGTCTGATGGTTTTGTTTGGAAGGTTTGGAAGGTGTATACAGTAGAGCCCTTTCAAAATAGCCAGTTACCAGGCATGTATGACCATAGAAGCTGTTTCTATACGAAAAGGTTTCTTTCAGCACTGGGATGGTACAGTCCCTGAATTCCACCCCTAATAGTAGCCTGGCTAATGCATTTTGGATGAGCTGAAATTTCCAGACAGTTTTCAAAGGTAGCCCCACATATGATACTTGGCCCTAACTAGGGAGATAATGTTTTTTTCCAGAGAGGTTTAGCTGCTGGATTTTGCAAATAATTAAACTGTTATGAATTGACTTGTAAACAATTCCCATGGAAGGTAAACATTTAATTCTACCTGAGTTGTGTCAGCATCCTCTGCTTTTTGCAGAGGGATCCTCCTTCCCAAGTTGCAGAGCAGCTACCTGGCTCAGCTGGCTACCTATGTCAGACATTATGTTGTCTATGCATAAGCTGGAGCAGATGCTTCCTTTCTACAAGGTCTGTTTCACTCTCCTTTCAACTACCCTCCAGGTAGCACAGCTTTCTATTCTGTACCCATCAGTGTGATGCAAAGAGACCACAAGGAAGAAACAAAAGTGTGTTTACCTGTATCTCATATTCTATGAGTGGTCATCTGTGCATTCACTCAGCCTGCCCACCTTCCCTGTAACTGGTGCCTTTAATTTGCTGTGGCATACTCCTACGCTCTTGAAGGAACAGAGCAGGAAAGCACAGTTTCCCTTTGCTGGGCCTACCTGGTTTGGACTGTATCTCTGTGGGGAGGATATTTTCATACCCATAACCTAGCTGTAGAAGTTTCTGAATTGTAGCTCTGCATATACAGAAAGCCTATTAGTGTGAATGCAAAAATGTCCACTCAAAATGATTGCATGTAAGCAACCTGTTTGGTAGCCTCACTGGCAGCCTAGGTTTCTTTCCCTTGTCTAATTGGTAGGCCCATTGTATCTGTGATAAGTTTTGTTGGAAAGAACTTCACTTGTTGCTAGACCATCCCTAGATAATGAGAAGCGTGGTTGCCTGGAAGCCTGGACTGAGTTCTTTAGTTGATATATATAATGGAAATGCTTGGAGTTTTCTAGGGAGAAAACCGGAATGGCTGACTTCCTGCTTTGTCTCCAAGCTGGAAAAGCCACATGGCTTAGGCCATTATCTAGGAACAAAGAACCATATTTGTAAGAAAACTGTGTATCTTGACTGTATATCTGATTTAGCCCCAGTTAGTGTAGAAATGCTATACTTTTTGCCATTTTGTAAGGTTTTTTTTTAACCTTTTTAAATGTTAAGTAAAATCTGATTTGTCTTCTATAATAAAATCTTTTACTTTGGCCTTCCCAAAACAATTAAAATTGCATTCTAATATTTCTTGTACTGATCCATAAGCTTTTTGAGGAAAGAAATGATTTGTCAGTCTCCAGAAGGCAGAGCTCATGTGGGATAGAGTTCCACAACTGTGGAACCATCACTACAACTGACAAGGCCCCTTCCAAGTTATGGCTAGGCTTACCTCTGATGAAACTGGCCTATAAAACAAGACTTCCTTGGAGGATCTGACAGAAGGAGGAATTCAATTAAGTATGCAAGCCAAGACCCAAGCCAGTTAAGGCTTTAAAGATCAAAATCTGTATTAAAGTACTTGGAGAATAATTACAGTCCAATCTTGGTTTTATTTAAGTATGCATTTCTTTTCTCTTTCTGTTTTTAAATTTATTGTTTCATTCTTCAGGTATGGAGTTCTAGACCCTGAAAAATTCTCCTTAAACAGTTCAGGCACCATAGTGGTGTGGGCAGCAATACAGGAAGAAAAAAAGGTTAAAAGCTCTCCAGTTGTAAAAGGTTCGCCATCAGGAAAATTCAGGAAAAAAACTGGTAAGAGATCTAAATGAGAAAAGGTATTGTATTTACACTCTTGCTTTATTTCATCGCCTATTTAAAACATACTAAATTTCTTTTCTAAAAGCTTCAGGGCAGGTAGAAGTATATCTTTTGAAGAAGAAGAAGAAGAGATTGGATTTATACCCCGCCCTTCACTTGGAGTCTCAGAGCGGCTTACAAACTCCTCTCCCTTCCCCTCCCCACAACAGACACCCTGTGAGGTGGGTGGGGCTGAGAGAACTCTGACACAAACTGCTCTTTTTCAAGGACAGCTGTGCCAGAGCTTGTGACTGACCCAAGGTCACATCAGCAGGTGCAAGTGGAGGAGTAGGGAATCAAACCTGGGTCTCCCAGATTAGAGTCCGCACACTTAACCACTACACCAAACTGGAATTCTTTTAAAAGGTTTCAGGATTTGGACATGTTGGAACAGGGCCGGCTTAGTCTGGACTCAAACTCAGCTCCAAAGGAGCACTTGGTCCACTATGCTTCTTGTCTATCTCAGCCCTTGCTCATTGTGCTCTGTATCCCGTCCTGTTTCAAAACCTGGGCTTTCATTTGAATCCATTCAGTTCTGATAACTTGCCATATAGTCTGAGCTCTGTCCACTGCTACTTCTGGATTTATCTTTCTGTTTTTAAATCTTTTGTATCAGAAAAGCCTGATGCTTTTGCTAATGCATTCCATGTTGGTTTTCTCCTTCCAAAGGTCTGAGTATTTCTGGTTCTTGATCCTTGCCTGTAGTTCCTTATTTCATTAACTTCATCTGTCTGAATTTTTCGTTTTTGTTCTGCTTGCTTGCTTTGTAGATTTTACCCAATGTTTGCCTTTCCTCATTGCTTTTGGACCATTGGCACGCTCTGGAGACTCTGTGGTGTCATATCGGGGGCAGTTTTTTTAAAAAATATGATAGGCGTTTATAGACAAACCTTTAATCAGGGTGGGAAAGGACCTAATGGGTCATTCCTGCCCTATGAAACTACTCCTACGAGTGGTAGTCTCCTCTTAATAAAACTCCCACAGAAATATTTCCCACCATCTCTCTCAAGAGATTCTTCCTTTTTGAACTGTTAGGTTTTTTCTTACCTAACTCGTAACCAAAGTGTTCCTAAGCTTAGTAGATTGAATGAGCAGTTTTACTCCATCGTCTGATCCAGAGAACCTCATAAATATATGGAAGTGATCTACATATATTCTCCCCTCCTCCACTTGAAGCAAGTTCAGGCTACGGAACAAATAATTCCTTTTTGCCATTTTTCTCTGAATCCTTTCCAACTGGTCAGCATCCCTCCTTGGCTGTGGTGTTTCATGGTTGAAAATAGTTCCCCAAATGATTTTTTTCTCATGTCTAATTCAACAAAAAATGAGTTTTTCATGTCTTGGGAACATTGCTTCACATTAATGACTCATTCAGTTTGATTCTGTAGTACCAGCATCATTCTCAGATATTCTGCTGCATATCCATTTAATTGTATTTGTGTGTACCTAGTTCTTTCTTTGTTTATACAGTCTTTGCTGAACACATCTCTTTAGTTTTATTGCCCAGTCGATGAACTGTGAATGAGGATGGGAAAGGCTAAGGGTAACAAAATAAAAGGGATTTCCTAGTATTGGTTTGCTGCCATTAGGTTTGTGATTGAAAGTATTTTGTTATGGAGTATGGATGAAGGAAGTTGCATTTGATGCCAGTGATCTGTTATTCTTTAATTTATTGCAGATGATACTAAATTGGGAGGGGTATTTGTTATTTAGTTTAAAGATTTTGGACACTGAGGGAATAGCAGAGGTTTAGCAACTTTGTTAGAGCTCTTCTGGGCTGCAGGTATATGAAAATGTCTGCTAAATTCCTTAGAGTACATCTGTATCTCAGAACAAAGAACCTGTGCAACTGATTATAGATAATACTGTACGTTGATCTATTTGTTTATTGTTTGACTGTGCACAGTTCCATAGCTATACAGTCATTTTGTATCCAGGCATTAGTATATGCTCTAAAACAATTCAGTTTTTTCAGAAAATTCATTTGAAAGGGGAATGGATTTTATATTTAAACATGATTCATCCTGAACCCTGGCTACCATAATGCCTGCAGATAGGTTATTTAGTTCAAGTTAGCTTTCCTAGGTTTTATTTTTTTATTAATAGCATTTCACTGTATGCAATGCTCAGCTGGCCCCTGCAAACGTTTCCACAGTCGTGCAGTTTTATGGCATGCAATGAATAGTGCCCTATTGAATCTCTTTGGATAGCTAATCAGAGATTAGTTCTTCCATACTACACCATTCCTACTGCAGCATGATCAATTTGCTTTTGTAGCTATTTCTCAGTCTTGTACCCAAGTTCTTGTCTATTGCCAGCTGCTTTGGTCTAGAAATCCAGTTTTTCAGGTCAAGCATAGTGGCCACAACCATTGAGTAACCAGAAATGGTAGAACTTTTCATGACGGCTTCATTATAATTCATTCTGGCCTTTTTGTTTGTCTAAGAGCACTTGTATCATTCTGGACCCTAAGAAATAATGCCCTGGATATTCTGTTGTGATATTGCTCAAACCAAGTCAGGACTTCCTTGCTCTTCTTTGCTCAGACACACTTGACCCTACTTCCCCCACCTCCAGCCCTGGTCCTTCCTTGCCTGCTTCTGACCCTACATTACAGAGTGCTTCCTTGGACACTGATTCCAGCTCAAGCCTACTTGACCACAGTGTTTGTCTCACCCCTGAAAGTGATGCCATGATGGATCCCACCAATCCGACCCAGTTGTCACCTTCTGTCACAGATACAGGTGGGTTACTATATGCTGGCCAGGCACCTGAGTTCTTGATTGGATGAAGAGGATATTTCAAGTTAAGGGGGTGGGCCATCGCCAGTAACGAATCCCAGATGTTTACTTTGAATGCAATATATTTACAGATTTCTGGTATTTCTTACTTGTTTACTTCATTATTTATAAGAGATTAATCAAACTTTTCCTCCTGCCAGCTTAGATCGTAAGGGAAGGGGTGGGCAGTTTCCCTCAAAATACTCCATTGATTCTTCGCCTCCCCAAGAGATGACTAGTGATCAGATTAGCAATCCAGGTTCTAACTGTGATACAAGTCTCAGGCATTGGATGTGGCTGGGGAACAAACAGCTGCAGATGAAATGTCAGTGCCCGTAGTCCATGAGCAAAGGTGCATGATGGGGTGAGGCTAAGGCAGGACATGATAAACTGAGGAATAGACAGATGGGCTAAAACAGAAGGCAGATGGGAAATTTGTTGTTTTAAAGATACTAAGAATCAAATACCTCCCATTGGTGGTGCATTTTTGAGACCAAAGAAGAGCTGCAGATGTGACAATTATGTAGGAGAAAGTAGAAGGTAGTTGTTTTATCCCCATAATTTGCTGACTTCATTGCTAGGAGAGTTGTAGGAGATTTCTGTTCACTGTCTACAGGAACACCTCCAGACTCTTCAGTATTCTGTGTTCAAATGCAGCCATATCCCACAGTGGTTTGTGCTGGTCACAAACTGTATTAATAAAGTACTTACATACCCCACAGGTATTGCATATGTAAAGTATATAGTGACGCCAGTTATCCTAAAATCAAGCAAGCAATTGATTTTGCATTGTCAAAAATCATTACTCAGTTTATTCCGTCCAAACTTGGCCTATAGATTGAAGGTTTCATTATTTACTTCAAATCTAACAGGATACCTACTTGTAGATTTCCAGGATTTTTTGTAGTATATTAATTTTATATTTAGTCAAAATGGCATCATTTTCTTGAATATAAATTGATTGACATCACTGTGAACTAGAAAGATTGCTCTTCATGGTGGTGTGATGCACCTATGCAGATCCAATCAGAGAACCTGAACCAGGGCCGTAGCTAACAACTTTTTGCTCGGGGGGCCCAGGTTTTTTTCAGGGGGCCCACCAATGTTCCCTCTAAGCTGTGGAGTTTTGTGAGCAAAACTTCTACTTTGTGAGCTACTGCCATTAAAGTTGTGAGTGAGCGATTTGGCTACTGCATTAAATTGGTTTGCTCTGTACTGTAGCCATCCTTCCTGAACCAAGACAAAAAGGTGTGAGCTAGAGGCTAAAAAACTATGAGCTAGCTCCCCCCCCCCCGAGAAAACCAAGCCCAGATATGAGCACCCTATTAACCAACTTATGGTGGGGTTTTCAGGGCAAGAGAAATTCAGAGGTGGTTTCCCATGGCCTGCCTCTGCACAGAAATTCAAGAGCAAAGGGGGGTGGGGGGGTTAACTCCACTTGACTGCTGTTGCCGCCGCCCCCTCCCCTTTTAGTTGTTCTCCTTTAACACCCAGCCTGCTGAAGAGTTCTGGTGGACTTACGGTTGCCAACTCCGGGTTGGGAAAGTTCCGGAGACTCAGGGGCGGAGCCCGGGGCTGGGGAAGGTGGGATTGGGGGAACGCAGCGAGTTCAGCAAAGATGGGATCCCCCCGCAGAATCCCCCCCTCTGAAGCGGGAGCGGCCGTCTTTTCGGGGGGGGTGTGCTTGCGTGTGCGTGCGCGCGCACCACTGCCTGCCTCTGCGCCCTGGACTTCCTTGGGGGAAGGAGTCTCCCTGTAGCCGGGGGCGGGTCATCACTCCGGGAAGTCCCCAGGCCCCGCCGCCGGGTTGGCACCGCTCCAGCCCCGGCCCTGCTCGGTGTCTTGGGGAAGGTTGGCTACCGGAGCTGCTGTTTCCCGGTCCGCGCGGCAGAGTCCAGCCCCTCCCTTGGACTTCAGCCGGGTGCTCCTTCCTTCCTTCCCGGCCCTTACCCAGCGTTGCAGAGCGGACGCGGCCCCCCGCTCGCCCGGAGGCCTCCAGGAGGCGCAGGTCGCCAAAGCGCCGCGGGGAGCCCCATGCCGCGCCCAGCCCCGCCAGCCCCGTGCCAACGACCAGCACCCGCGGGCCGCCGCCGCCTCCTCCTCTGACCACCTCCATGGCTCGGCCGCCGCGCACCGCCTCTTGCGCGCGGCGGGAGGAGCCAAGGCGCTGCCTCTGCCCGGGGAGCCGCCCGCCGGAGCAGCTGGACGGGGCTGCCCACGGACGGGTCCGGCCCACCACCAATGCTACCTCTGTGGAATGCCGGAGAAGGAGGCGGCGGTGGCGGCAACCACAACCCGCACACCGCGCTGATGTTGGAGGGTGGCGGCGGCGGGGGGAGAAGGAGGAGAGGATGGGGAGGGGGCCCGCAAGCCCCGCAAGGGGGCCGGGCCCCTAGGGCCCCACGCAGGCTACGGGCCTGACCTGAACTGATACTTTTTCAGCTTCGCCTGCACAAAATGTTTAACAGTAGAGTTCTCCTGGATTTATCTCATTAAAGTATGATTAACTACCTTTAATTCTGATAATACAAAAGAATAATGGGTTTGGTTTGGTTCTTTGAATGTAACCAGCAAACCAGACAGAGCAACTTCAGAAATTTTTATCTTATAGTTAATGCTACAATACTGTGAAAATAAGTGCTAAAATTATCAAAGTACCTACCATTGCTTTCTAGCAAGTAATAGTTTTAAAAGCAAATCAGTTTTCAGCTGTTTCTCTTCTTTTAGGGATTATCATAAAGTCCAAATTACCCACCAAGTAATCTCACCTATTCTCCTTGTGAGACTTACATGCAGAGAAATCTGATTTGCTTGTCACAGGTGTGCACATTTATAGAAATCCATTCTTATCTTATCCCTAACCTTGTCTATCATAATGTGATATTTTTACAATAACTGATTGGTTTGCAACTAATAAGAGATAAGCAACATGAATGCTGATTAGCTAAAAAACTATGAACACACACATGAAGCTGCCTTATACTGAACCAGACCCTTGGTCCATGAAGGTCAGTACTGTCTACTCAGACCATTAGCGGCTCTCCAGGATCTTATTCAGAGGTCTTTCACATCTCCTATTGCCTGATCCTTTTAACTAGAGATGCCAGGGATAGAACCTGGGACCTTCTGCATGCCAAGCACATGCTCTACTGAGTCACAGCCCCTCCCTCTATTATCTAGATAACTGATTGGTTCTTAACTAGATAAGCAACATATGAGCTAATCTGCAGATGCATATGAGATACATCTGGTAAAGCAAGATAAGAAGGCCAATCTGAACCTTTAGCCTACTTTTTTGGTCACTAGTTCAACTAACTGTCTAACATGAAAATATTTGAAGCAAACAGAATTCATGGACAATTAAAAAGTGCTTGAGCTCTTGACCAATTTGCAGACTCAGCAAGAAAAGGTTTAGTGATATCATAGCTACTGCTGCCTCACCATACTGTTACATCACCATATGCAAATATTTTTGATCTTTTGTTCAGTTGCAGTAGATATTGAAAATACTATTAGTGATTCAGTATCTTTAAGGACTTGCTTTTAAAACAACCAGTAATAATTTTCTCTTTGGTTTGGGATCCAGATGAGGCTTCTGAGTATAGCATTAAGTTGAATGAAAAACATCCTCGATGCCAATCAACAAGTGAAAAAAGGAGTAGCACAGTCAAGGAACGTGAACGAGCTCTAGCTTTTGCTGCTATGCTAGATCACTTTAATAAGCTATTTCTGCATCTCAGAAGAGCTGTGGTAATGTCTTCTTGAATTAATTTAATGCTTGTACTCTATCAGATTAAAAAACAGTCTCCACCAATTTTGGATGTTAATGCCTGTCACAAACCCGCCTTGGTTCCCAGCTGTCTTTGTCTGCCCCCACTCCACCCTTCCTCTTGGGGTTCAGCCTTGTGCTCTGTGTTGGCTGAGAATCACGAGCTCTGTTGTTTTAACTTTCCCCATAACAAAGGGCTCCCCCACTCAGTATAGGCTGCTACTAGCAAAAGGAATTTTTTTTGTGTATGTGTTTTGTGAGGGTGAAAAGACATGTGTGGGCATGTGGATAAGCTTGTATTATTCTAAAAGCACGTTTATCCTGTCCTAACAATGTCAAAATTAGTTTCATATCTTTCTAGTACATATTACATACCAACTTATCTCCCAGAGTAATGTGCAAAACAAAATGTATTCTTCTAACTCCACAGGAGTTTTTACCTCAAATCAGAGATTGGGGAGAGTTCTGCAAGTGCTCATCATATATTTTTTAGAGACTTTTCCTTTTCTTCCCCATTCTTCCATCACCCCTAAGAGTCACTTTTGGATCGTCAGGTGTAGGATAAGACAAGGCTGTAGCCCTTCAGAGAAGAGAATGGAGAGATTGAAGCATTAGTTTTAACTCTTCTCCCATTTATCAATGGAGAAGAGTGCTGGTTAGAACAGAACGAACCATCACACACTTTCTTACATTTGTTGAATAAGTGTTGGGACAAGAGGGAATCCTGTTAAAACTACAGAAACCATTTTAACCAGTCCATTCTGTAGGTATAATGTAATATCAGCAACCATGGTTATTTGGTCCTTATACCATTACTCAACCATGAAACGCACGGTCATAGCATTCATCAGAGAATGATAACCTCCAATTGTGGTACCAGACCTACCACCAGCTCCTTCAGTTCCTCTTTCCTGCTGTAATGAAGTTCAAAAGGCTTATCTGTGTAAACTAGTCCCATGGTTCCCCACTGTCAGGACAATTCCGCATGGGGGAATGGTATCACATCCTAAAAAGACACTCCAAAGTATGGTCACTTCATTCATTAAACTACTAGCAGAACAGTATGTTAAAAGTTTTTCCCAAATCTTATAATTGGCCTATGAACCCCTTAGCTGATCAGATACAGGCTGACAAGTTCCACGTTCCCATTCAAAATTAAACTAGTGGAATAATCTGATACCAGCTTGAATTATTCCATATAAAGAGACCCCAGAGCCATTGATTCCTGGGGAATTGGATCCTGGGACTTGTCCCCAGTGGGGATATTATTTATTTTTACAGCACCTGTATCCTGCTTTTCTCCTCAAAGTGATCCAAAGCAGCTCACAGAAAAAATAATTAAATTAATAACTTAATAACAAGTGACTAAATTAACAAATTAAAAAACAAATTAACAAATTAAACAAACAGAATTAAAAAACCCTGGGCTTGGTGTTCATTGATAAGTCTGCCTAATACAGGTCCTAGGTTGTGAAGAGCCCTTTGACTTTTGCCCTTTGGCTCCCGACTGGGCTTTAGAAGAGACAGATTGACTTGATCCAGATGAAATTCCACTGCTGCTGCACCAGCTACCCCCTCCTTGAAGGAAAGGGAAGGCACTTTAAACTGCCTTCCCTTGGCTTGCCCGGGGGCCCCACAGCTGCGGGGAGCCCGGGCAAGCCAGCCCTTGGCCAGGCCCGGGAAGGCAAC